ACCTAGTTTAGTGATTTCTTTCCATTGAGTTCAACGCTTGAAATAACATTTTGGTCTTCAAATATCGTATTATAATGTAATAAAAAGGTTTTAAATTCAAAACTAAAAATTCAAAGTCAACTTTTTTGTTTCGGCCCTCAGGCCGAAACGGCTACTAAGATCAGTTTGCAAAGCCATAATATTTTGTCTCCTCTGTCAATCATCTTACAGTTCAGCGAATCATATTCCTCATATTCAGCATTAGCCAATCACATATCGAGAATGAACTTTCTGTTTCGTAATTCATCACGGCGATAGAATGTGATCTTGATATTCATTCAAAGTATCAAATAGCTTAAATTCTTATCTCAAATAAGTGTAGCCTGCGTTACATCCCAGAAATTTCACAAATACCTATATCGAAGAATATTCCGGATGTAACGCAGGCTAAAATAAGTGTAAGCTACTCATCTCAGGCCCATCGAACTCTCGATTTGAATGAAAACCTTCCAGGACATTGTACTTTTTAGTACAAACTGACGATTCCGGTGATTACGTGTCACCGACTTCACATGTTTTATAGCTAGCCATAGCATTGTAGATCGTTCGCAAATATGGAAACCGTATTTTGTATTATCACTGGAGTGTAACTAATGTGCGAGCCTGCGAGCCCGAGCCTTTATGTGCGAGCTGCGAGCCTTTTTTGCGAGCCTCTTTCAAAATACCAAATTAACAGACATTTGTTTTTCAATCTCGACTTAGACATTTCAGCAATCGAAATGCACGGTCCAAGTACTTGTACAAAGTGAATGGAGATCGACTGAGTACGATTATTTTTTGCTRCAAAGTAATATATTTTGTTTTGCAAGTCTAGTGCTGAGATGTGAACTTTAGCCTAAATTAGCCGTGATACTTCTAAGTATTTCTAAATTCAAATGTTTTTAGCTCATGAGATCACTTCCAAGAAGTGAGATCTCGTGAAGTACGTTGTCCGTGCCATTAGCACCTTCGGCCAAGATCAGTCTCTAACGCCCTCATAAGGTCTGATACTCAGGTTAAATATATTGTACGGGATTTCATGGGTTACAACGCACGAATAAAAGCCTTGTAGTAAAACATCAAAATATTTTGAATACTACTGAGTTCCCCCTGCATTTTTCTCTGCAACTTTAGTTGGCCTAGAGATTTTTGTTTTCCCGATACAATTGCGTGCTTTTTATAGCAGCCGTCGAATGGCTGCAATGATAAGAACATCCTATCTCAAATCACACTTTATTTATACTTAAAATTGAAAAACGAAATCTGGAAAAAAGTTGGATGTTTGGCGGACTCTAGTCCAGTCCTGGCCTCTCGTTTCCGACGCTCGCGGAATCGCTGGGGAAAGAGAGTCCAGTATAACTTGCATGCGCATGTGCAGGACCAGCCAATCAGAAAAAAAGTTGAATTTTGAGAGCCCGCAATTTATAATGGTCAGTGGTTTGTTTACTTCATGTGCACGCAGACAAAGGGAAAGAGAGTATAGATCAAGGATTTTCCAAAGCCAGTACTAAGATTTACAAAAACATCTTTTCCAATTTTTAATTCGTGAATGGCTTGAAGCTGTTCGAACTTAGGACTAAAATTGTATTTACATATTTTTAAGGCATAACTAACGGCATTTAGAAAAGCCGGTCCAAAATTATCTTTGTATTTCAAGTGGAAACTACCTTCCACCGCGCTCTCCGCCATCTTGGTAATTGTATAGGACTAGGTAACCTCGTGATTACCACATCGGTGTGGTAATCACGAGGTCGCTAAGCTGACATGCGCATGCAAGTTATACTGGACTCTCTTTCCCCAGCGATTCAACGAGCGTCGGAAACGAGAGGCCAGGACTGGACTAGGCGGACTCGTGCGATTAACTGCAAAACGCGGCCATGTATTGAATATTGTTTGTCTGTAGATTTCATGTCAAATTAGTTTTTCATCACGTGATCGGGTATGTGCCTCGTGCATAAAAACCACCTCTTTGGACCTGGCAGGAGGTCTTTCCACTATTGTAGTGCTTATGTCATGTTTTACTTCAATTCTATCTCGACTCTCTACAATAAACCGTCAGATATTAAAAAGTCGTCTCATTTCTAATTAGCCTGGAAGTTCCGAATTATCTACGTGAAAGAGAAACCACATTGTCACTATAAGACAACTAAGTTGGTTTTTCAACGAAAATCAGTGTTAGTACATGATGTAGTGAAATTCTACAATAGAACAGGAACAAAATATAGAAATTAATGTTTTTTGGTTATTTTGAAGAAGGCTCGCAAAATAGGCTCGCGGCTCGCATTTAGAGGCTCGGGCTCGCAGGCTCGCAAAATAGCAACCCCCTTATCACTGAAATCCTATTTTTTAAAGACTTAAAATCATATTTACGCTTACATAACGTCCATAGACTTGCACTAACTTCGTATTACTTTCACCGTGCCACTATTTAATCGGTAAATTTATTAAACTGATCGAGTTCGCTCTATGTTTATATCTGATAACATTTACGCACTCCACACGGATAGCGTTGCGTGACAGCAGAGGACAGTTGCTTTAGGAGTTTACAACGTGAACTATGACTGAATTATAGAAAAGGTTTGTTCCTGGAGCAAATCTAAACAATAAATATCCTGTTTTTTCAAAATAAAAAATCATGAGGCATTGTAAACCTTCTGATTTCAACGAGCTTTCCTCCCAGCAAGCTTAAAAGGTCCAGTGTTCCTCAGTTTATTGTTCTTTTTTAAAAAACTTTTGAACTGAAATGAACTGGTTTAAGATAGTAATTTATTTGAACTGCTCATACTAGCAGCCAGAACACCCCACCCCTTTACATTTGTAAGCCAGCCTATTTGTAAGGCACTTAGTCCAAAAATTGACAAACGCAGCACTGCACTGCACTGAACTGTAGAGGGCCGAAACATCATTGCTCTTAGAGCAATATAGCCTTGTTGTAAATAATTCCATGTGAAATGTACCAGTCAATAATATCTCGTATTACATGTAAATACATCTGTCTTTGTTATTGAATAATAAGTGGAATCAAAAAATGGTGAATATTAAAGGTATGAAAACGATGAAAGACTCGAGACCTTTGTTACATATTATATCAGTCCGCTGTTATTTTTGATTCAGTGTATGACCCTAGTCTCCTTCGCGTTTTGACACCGGAAACGGATGCGAAGGAGACTATGTATGACCCAGGATTTAAAAAAGAGCAATTCTGAGAAAATATTTTTTTATCGTTGGCGTTGACATGGAAACATATTAGTATCATTACAAACTATTGTTTTATTTTTGTAACCCAAAGTTCATTAAAGCAATACAATGTGAAGCCCCACTTGAATAACCTGAGTATCAGGCTCTCGGGGGGAGGGAGGGGGACAGAAGGAAAATGGGGGAACTGAAGGAGAAGGCCCCCTCGAAGGCCTGATACTCCACTTTGGGCTTCCTGTGTTGTGACAAAAACTTTCCCAGGGAGGGGTATGGTAGGACATCTATCAATGGCAACCTAGTCAACATAAGTTCTAATTAGCCGATAACAAAACGAGAAGGGGCCTGGGACTGAAAATTTTAAAAGTGCTACAATCTTACTGAAATCTGTTGTTGATAGATAAAGCACATATAAATTAGCTAAACTTTAAAGTTTGAGCAAGTTTAAGTCTCACTCATTAGAATTGGGAATATAATTTTTCAAAAATTTCGAAAATTACAAAGAATGTATGTTTGGCTGGACGCTTTGGCTGGACACCATACATTTCTTTGTAATTTTGGCATGGTTTGAATGTCCATAACTTTATTGCTATAAGTTCAAACATCATGAAACTTAGTCAGTAAGCCTTTTATAAAGTGCTCTTTCACATGATGGGGTTATTCTCTCTGGAACCATTATTTAATTAGATTTGGAAGTTCGTACCCAGTCCCTTTTTCGTTTTGTTATCGGCCAATTTAGAATAAAGTGATAGTGACTTTTTGAAGCAGTAGCTGTCTTCATTGGCAACTTCTYATGCTGATTGATCTTTTCAAAACTCAAAGATAAAATCTGTATCTCCATGCATATATGCATCTATTCTTTATATCATGCATATAATCCATCCATATAGGA